TTTTAACAACATTTCTCAAACGAAAGACAGTGTTTGGGGCCTAAATAGGGCATTTTTTCACTGTTTGAGGCCTCAAAAAGGGGGGGTGGCAAAAAGCCGTCGAAACACGCTTATATAAGGGAAAAGGTTAACAAAAAATGATGAAAAACCTTGGAATCACCCAAAATCTAGTTTTTTCATGTTAACATGTGGTTTTTCACCTAATTTTGGTGAAAAATAGTTTTGAATGTAACATTTATAATTTTTTTAGTTAACCCTTTCCCCCATGAGCATATTGTGAAAAATGGCCATTTTCACTGAAAAGCCTCCTGTTACAAGTTCAAACTGCTATGAAACTATGAAAAATGCTTCAATACTAATCAAACTTGGCACAAATGTTGACTGGACCATTGCCTTTGTAACGACATGCTCAGTCTTAAATTTCCTGTTACCATGGCAATGAGGGGACATCTCAAAATTGCCAAAAATCACTTTTTTGCCTCGATTTTTTCCATCAAAATTTATTTCAAAGTGCTGCAACTTCTCAAGGGATTGAGATAGAGTCAAAGGCTTTTCAGCGTTCGTTACACGTTACCTTATGATCGACCTGGGGTCATTTTAAGCCTCTCACAAGTCCAAAATTTTCTTGGCGATGAGGGGGACTCCGCCCCCCTTCAAAGCCCCCAAACAGAAGGGGACACATCCCCCTTCTGGCAACCCCCTGATGTAATATTTGGATGGGGGACGGCGCCAAAAAAATGGTCACTTCTTTTAACAACATTTCTCAAACGAAAGACAGTGTTTGGGGCCTAAATAGGGCATTTTTTCACTGTTTGAGGCCTCAAAAAGGGGGGGGGGGCAAAAAGCCGTCGAAACACGCTTATATAAGGGAAAAGGTTAACAAAAATGATGAAAAACCTTGGAATCACCCAAAAATCTAGTTTTTCCATGTTAGCATGTGGCCTTACACCTAATTTTGGTGAAAAATTGTTGTTTTGTAACATTTTTAATTTTTTTAGTTAACCCTTTCCCCCATGAGCATATTGTGAAAAATGGCCATTTTCACTGAAAAGCCTCCTGTTACAAGTTCAAACTGCTATGAAACTATGAAAAATGCTTCAATACTAATCAAACTTGGCACAAATGTTGACTGGACCATTGCCTTTGTAACGACATGCTCAGTCTTAAATTTCCTGTTACCATGGCAACGAGGGGACATCTCAAAATTGCCAAAAATCACTTTTTTGCCTCGATTTTTTCCATCAAAATTTATTTCAAAGTGCTGCAACTTCTCAAGGGATTGAGATAGAGTCAAAGGCTTTTCAGTGTTGGTTACACGTTACCTCAAGGTCGACCTGATGCCATTTTAATTATCTCACAAGTCCAAAATTTTCTTGGAGATGAGGGCCCCCCTTCAAACCCCCAAACAGAAGGGGACACATCCCCCTTCTGGCAACCCCCTGATGTAATATTTGGATGGGGGACGGCGCCAAAAAAATGGTCACTTTTTTTAACAACATTTCTCAAACGAAAGACAGTGTTTGGGGCCTAAATAGGGCATTTTTTCACTGTTTGAGGCCTCAAAAAGGGGGGGGGGCAAAAAGCCGTCAAAACACGCTTATATAAGGGAAAAGGTTAATGAAGGGCTACATATTTCTGCAAACTTACAATTTAGAAAAGAAAAGTGCTACATTTTATTTTTTGTTGTTGTTATTTACAATGATTGCAGATATATTGTTGGATTTTAATGTCTCTGTATTTGGCATATTTTGTAAAGAAATAAGTACAAAAATAGGGGAAAAAAGAAAATGGAGCACAAATGATAATTGTATATTTAACCTGTATTCGTTCTTGACTAGTTTTGAATGTTGATATTATGCATGTATAGAATGTAAACAAGTAGATAATCAGTGTATATTCCTGTGATAATATACATGTAGTTGTAATATTGGTAGTTAGTGTTTTATACTCAAGTGTTGATATGATCTGATTCCTCAAGTACAGTAAATCCTGTGATAGGCTCCGCCCTGATTTCCCCCACCCCACCCCCTTATACTCACTTCTAAAATAAGATGTATTTTTATTGAAATTGATATAAAGGTTGAATGTTTCTATAGAATATGAATATTTACAAGACATTCTTATCCGATATTAGATGGTTTACTTATAATAGGGTTAGACAGTTGCTGTTTAATATACACTGAACTGTGTATACTAATATATGTATTGCACAAGATCTCTTCAGTATATTACTATAAGAAATGTATACATGGATTTATTTATATAATGAAGTTGGTAAAAGTATTTCACATCAAATATTGTGTTTTATAGGGAGGGGAGGACAGGTGTTCAAATTGCACATCTAGAGAAATATTTTATGAGGACATTTATTTTTTCTATGCCACCAAGTGATGCATGTCACATAATAATTCCTCTATTCTATGAACTTTATCTGTGCTAACATGTCTTACATATTTACATTCTTATTTAATTCTGTTTGTTCTATACTGACTGTGCTCAAATCATTTTATGTTATATTTACTTATCATTTTATTTTCTAAATATATTGATGCATTGATTTATAGTGGTATACAAACATAGTGTTTATGTGTCAGCATGTCCAGTTTTTTCTTTCTTTATTTGTGACTTGTTTCTGTAACAATTTCATTTTCACTCTGAAGATGTTAGGAATTGATTTTTAATGTTACTGCTACTTACTGGACTTATTTCTTACAAAAATTCAGTTTGTCCATCAAATTTATATGAAATATTCTTTAAGGAAATTGAAAAAAAAAATACTTTAGTTTCTTTCTTAGTTCAAACAAAATATTGATAGATCATACTTGTATATTCTTCATTGTTACTTTTATTACCACCTAGATAATGTTGGTATGATAAACGTGAAAGCATAGAGACTATTTATATAATGTATGAACACCAAGATATAAAAAAGTATATCAAAATATACAAAGTGTATCAAAATGTACTAAGTATGTATGTTTTTTTTCTTCAGTTAAACAATTTATGCAAATGAAACTAAAGTGTTTACCTACCTCATTGAAAGTTTTTTGAATTTCATTTTTATATTGCTAAAATTATCACAGAATAACTTCAGTACTTCAGTTACAAGGATTTCTTTTCTTGCTAACTACATGAATGAACAATTTATTTTGATTTTTTGCTGGACCACACAATTTTTTTTTGTTTGTTTGGAATATTTTCCTGAGACTTTTCATAGTTCTGGTTTTATACTTTATATATTTATATATTTTATATAGACAGTAAATATGTTTATACATTTGATATGTGTCAGTAAATTTACCTGTGTTAGTACTTGAATAAACTCAAATAGAAATGTTGTGTTGTATTGTATTTGATTTATATTCCTTCAACTTAAAGGTTAAAAAGCACAACACTGGATTCATGCATTCAAGAATTTTTCTGATTATGAAAGTTCTGTAAATGTATAAAAAGATAGCTAGCCTTACACACTTTCTTATTTTTTCAAGAATTTCCAGTTAAGTTTCAAAATTTTCACGAATAACTTTAACTCCATTAGTAAAAAGGAAGGTAGATTTAGAAGCCACATTAGAGCTTTTAAGTACTTTTTCAGAAATTTCAAGAGGATACCAATAGGAAAAAATGTTTTGAAAGGTGTTAAAAATAGCAATTTAGGGGCTGAATGGGCCTTTGATAATTATGAATTATGTCATTTTCTACATAAACATGCAAATTGTCAGTTGGATTGTGTTTAATATACTAAAATATATATTTGTCCAATATTATTTCTAAGTCATTCATGTAGCTGTAATAATTGTCTCAGAATTTCAAGAACTAGGACATATATTAGGCAGGCTGTACTATTCACCATGTCATTGGCAATGGTTCTTAGGTTCAAGACTGACACTTCTCACGTTCATTATTATGAATCAAGCAACCGACAGAATTAGGTTCCAAGCAAAATAAAAAGAAAAAAAGTAAATAACTGAAACTTCACAAATGTATTCAGGGTCATAACTGAATGTAAATGACCAAGACCAGTAATTATGTTACTAGTTACACTCAATTTTAACAAATTCATACATTGCTCTAGTTATTATGAATTATTTAGAACTCTGTTTATGGATAGTATCTATTCTTTTTAGTAGTCATATACATTTAGATCTAGTAGACTGTCTCTGAACCCAGGGATCATGAGTTTGAGCCCTACTTGGGTCACTTACGCATTTCATCATAATTATGACAACAGGACTGGTTTGTTCCAGGAAGCAGACTTGAAATTGATTAACATAAATTGAAAGAATTTGTTTTTTGCAATCGAGCTGAAATAAAAATGTAAAAAACAAATACAGGTCTAGGAGGATATCATGAGGTTATTATACATTGTTGAGTACAATACTGAATTCTACTGGACTTGTTCACAGCTGTTAAACTATATTGGACAAGTTATATCTTATAAAGTGCGAAATAAACAAAAAAAGATATTTGAAAATGTACATGTATCTAAAGTCATGAAGGCCTACTTAGATTTTTTCACTTTAACAGACTTAATTGAGTTTTCTGGATTTCAATGTTTATATGTTTAAAATAGATGTATTATGGGTAAATGTATGTTTTGATACTCATTGATTCACAGGAACTTGACATTTAATCAATACATCACAAAATATAAGTATATTAGTGATAGAGCCCTTATCTCTATATTTTTTATATAGAGATAAGGGCTATATCACTAATATACGTATATTTTGTGATGTATTGATTAAATTTCAAGTTCCTTTAATTGATTGTATCATTTTATAAGTAAATATAGTCCTGGAATTTGCCTTAATTGATACAAAGTATTTTTCAAAAGCTGAAAATTTCATTTACCAAGGTCCTTTACATGTTTAAGCAAAAAAATATTTCAACTAATGTACGAAAGAGTTTATCATTAATAAATGTTTTCATAAAAATTATAGGTCTAACATCGTAAAATGATTTAGTAGTGTTAAACCTTTATGCAATTTCGTAACGGTCACAATACGGTTATTAATCCTGCTTCTCACGCATGCGCACGAAAGTACGCAAACATGAGTACCTCAAACGAATCAAAAGATAAAACAAATAATGCGAAAGTCTCTGAAAAAGACGAAGACGATGCTCTACAAGAAAAGGTAAAGAAGCAAGTGTCATTGTTAGTTTGACTTGAAGAGTAATTGAGAAATAAGTTTTGATATCACGGTCTTTTAACAAGTAATTTTCGCCCTCAAAACATATCGTACTTTTGCAAATTCTACATCTACATCGTACGTCGGCGCAATCACACTTGATTATAACGCGACGGGTGGTGCTTGGTCAAGAAAAAGAAATATACAAAAAATGATAGAATGTTAGAAGAGGTTTGATAGGTCAAAAGGAAGAGATATAGACAAAAATCGAGAAACCAGGAACGAGTATGTTAGGAACATGGTCAGTGAGCCTGGTACCAATAACAAAAAGCTCTACTCGTACGTCAAGAGCATGAAGAGTGACAGCTCAGGCGTTGCACCACTCAAGAAAGATGGCATCAGCCATTCCGACCCATGTGCCAAAGCAGAGATACTCAACGCCCAATTCTCCTCCGTCTTTACCGAAGAAGATGTTGAGAGTCTACCGAACATGGGCCATAACCTTCAAGAAACAGCCCCTCCACTGCAGATCCATGAGAAGGGTGTCAAGAAGCTCCTTGAGAATCTCAACCCACACAAGGCCACTGGACCGGACCAGATCTCATCCAGATTTCTGAGGGAACTGGCTTCAGCCATATCACCAATGCTGACACTCATATTCCAAGCTTCACACGATCAGAGCCAAGTACCAGATGACTGGAAGGGCGCACTAGTCACACCACTATTCAAGAAGGGAGACAAGAATAAGCCTTCAAACTATCGCCCAGTCTCGCTGACATCCATCTGTTGCAAGATTATGGAGCACATTGTCCATAGCCACGTGATCAGTTTCCTCGATCATAACAACATCCTCTCCGATATGCAACATGGCTTTCGGAAGAAGAGATCATGCGAGACGCAACTGATCACCACAGTCCAGGACTTGCAACGGGCCTGAACAACAAACAGCAGATCGACGCCATCTTACTAGACTTCTCCAAGGCGTTTGACAAGGTCCCCCATCGACGTCTCTCGGCCAAGCTTCACCACTATGGGATCAGAGGCAAGACTCTGGGTTGGATCAACAGCTTCCTCTCACACCAGTAGTACTCGACGGGAAGACATCATCTCCAGCACCAGTCACATCAGGCGTCCCGCAAGGCAATGTCCTAGGGCCTCTCTTGTTTCTAGTCTACATTAACGACTTGCCGGGCAGGGTCTCCTCCACAGCACGCCTCTTCGCAGATGACTGCCTACTATATAGGACCATCAGCTCTGAGGAAGACAGCATTGCACTACAAGAGGATCTTGACCGCCTACAAGAGTGGGAGCAAGACTGGTTGATGATGTTTAATCCCGACAAGTGTGAGATGATTCGCATTACCAACAAGCGGAAAGTGATAACTTGGTCCTATGCCATCCATGGCCAAACACTCAAGCAGACGAACAAGGCAAAGTATCTGGGTGTCACACTTGACAATACGCTTTCCTGGAACAGCCATATTGACGCTACCGCAAAGAAGGCGAACACCACCACTGCCTTTCTACGCAGAAACTTATCACACTGTCCACAGAACATCAAGGCGACATGTTACAAAACACTGGTTAGACCTCAGCTCGAGTATGCTTCGTCAGTATGGGACCCACACACCAAGGCCAACATCAGTAAGCTCGAGAACTGCCAACGAAGAGCAGCCAGGTTCTGCACAGGTGATTATCGTTACACCAGCAGCGTAACTGCAATGATGGAAGCTCTAAGCTGGGACACTCTAGAAGCCCGCCGTCAGCAAACCAAAGCAGTGATGATGTACAGAGTCATTAACAGCCTGGTGGATATCCGAGCCCATCACATACTGATCCCTGCTGGAGTACACACCCGAGGCCATGCCAACAGGTACCTACAACCCTTTACCAGTGTCAACTCATACAAGTATTCGTTCTTTCCTTCTGGGATCCGACTTTGAAACAGCCTACCAGAAGTCGTGATGACAGCCCCGTCCCTAGAGGTCTTCAAGACGAGGATTGGTGCGCTGCACGAGTAACTCTGGAGCATGGTGTTTTTAACCTGTTTTTAGCTGCACTTGATGTTCCCTTCACTCAAGTAAATAGTCACAATTGTGCGACGATGCTCCAGAGGGGCCCAGCACATTACCCGGAAGAAGAAGAAAAAGTCTGGCAAGCTACATTTCGCCTCTTCAACCCAAACCTCTCCGGTTACAGTGGCCGCGGCCGGCACAGCCTTGGATATCACTAGTGGGTACTTGTAGCTGGGCCCCTAAGGCGGATTAGAATGTGAGTGCTGATAGCCCCTACTTGAAGGATACCAAGTCAGGGGCCTCTGCAACGGAGGCAGGTAGGCTGTTCCAGGTTGTGGCTGTACGAGGGAAGAAGGAGTTCTTGTAGTACGATGTAGATGGAACTTCTTGGAGTGGTCACTTCTAGTGCGGCTCGGGGCAGGGGTGAGATAATCGCTGACTGGTATGTCCACAACGTCCATTGGTGATCTTGAACATCATGGTCAGCGGGCTTTGGTCCGTCGTGACTCTAATGTCTCCCACTCCAAGTGTTGGATCATGTAGGATACCTGCTGGTGTTGTGGTAACGGTTCGTCACATATCTTGCAGCTCTCCTCTGGACCATTTCGAGCTTGCGTGTAAGGTCCTTGGTATAAGGGTTCCAGACGGTGGAGCAATATTCAAGGCCTGGTCGCACAAGTGACATGTATGCTGTGCTCTTGACCTGTTCATTGCTGATGCGCAGGTTGCATCAAGGAAGCCGAGTGTGCTCAAATTCATATTTTAATCTTAATAAGTATCATCTGATGAAGTTAAACGTTTTAAATGAAATATAGTATTGTGCCGTTTTGTGTGATACGTCATTAAGTAAAATATATGGTATGTATACATGTAAACAATGTCCATTATAAATTGTAATTTGTTTGCTAGTTAATTCTTCATATGATACACACAAATTTATGACACACTGTCACTAAAAGCATTGTCATTGAATTTGTAACCTTGTCATCATTATTGTAAACCTGAAAAGTCTTCAGGCACTGACTGGGCTTTAATACCATTATTTTCAAACACCTTGCAGGGACGTCACAATAAAGTTAAAAAATATATGTAGTTGTTTAGAAACAGTATAAAAGAAGAATATTAAAAAAGTTAAAAACAGGGCTGGAAAAAAACTAGGTTGAGACATGTTCATTGCAAGCAATGGCTGCACTGAACTGCTCTGGGGTAGGGAGAAGGGCAACTGCAGGGGGTAGGTGGTTCCAGTGGTAAACCGTAAACCGTCCTTGGAAAGAAGGAGGGGAGAATTTATAATAGTCTGAAGTTGCTGTGAATAACCTATAACACAGGGGATGGCCATGACGTGATGTTAGGGAGAGAGGAGTCACATATTGATATTCAGTTTCTTCTATGGGAATAGCAACCAGACCATGGTGAATATTTCAGAAAAAGGATAACCTAGAATCTATACATCTGAGTTTCAGTTTTCGAGGCTTAAGGGAGTGAAGATTGTCCGTGATGCAAGAGGTCTGACCATAATCTAGCTCGATCCTTCGGGCTGCTCCTCTTTGGACATCTTCAATTTTCTACATGTATTAGAACTTTGGTGTGGGGAGACCATATTTCGGAACCATATTCAAGTTGGGGTCTGACTAATGTCTAGTAAGCAATGGACTTAATGGTTTGGGATTAAACCTTTATGTTTCTGTGTAAGAATCCTAAGGTTTGGTTTTTGATGTCTCTTGTTTACGTTGGCATCCCATTTACGGTTTTCTGATATATCCACGTGTAAATCCAACATCAAGATTGTTTGAAGTGGCCTCCAGATATTCATTTGACTGTTGACTTAGTCTGCACAAAAGTTGACAACATTTAATTACCATAGGGACATTAATGATTATTATTAAATCTGATATTAATAAAATGATTAATCTTAAATTTTAGTCATCATTAATCCGAATTCTTATTATCCACGTCAAAAACATGAATTAATGCTTGATATCAATGTATTCTTACCAATAAATACAAATATCTTTAATTTAATGATTCATAGATTTAAATTAGATTACAAACTGAAACTCAGGTGTGTACATGTTTGATGGTAATATTGTTAATCAAGTTGATAAATTTCAGGTTCATTCAGCCAATAGTTGGGAGACTGCTGATCTTGGTGATGATGATAGAAACCAGAAATTTCTGCGTTTGATGGGTGCTGCAAAGGTAAATTCCCTTGTCATACAATGTCAATACATTCTGAGTTACCTTTATCAATATGTGAAAGAAACTCCCTGAAACTGAATTTCAGGTGCCGAAAATTATTGAATATGATTTTGAGCATAAATGTATGCTAAGTAATCATTAACAAAATTATCATTGTTGACATAACTTTGAATTTTCAAACATTAAGATGTCCTATCTTACAGTGCTCCCTGTAAATTAATAGTCAGTGGTTTTGTTGGGGAGTGATATTTAAATTATCATAAAAGTGTATTTTGTAAAAGGCAATATATTTATGTTGGAATATGTTTATAATAACGGCTTGTTTCATTATATATTTTTTTTTCTATCTGTCAGTCTCAACACCAGGGTAGGTTTGTGATAGGGGAGAAAGATGTACCAGCACACAAACATGCAAGAGATAGTAAGTACCCTTGATGAAGAACTCTAAAAAAATCCCTAAGTCAACATTTTTTGTTGGCTCTTTAAATTTAGAAATTCTGCAAACTAAGATTTAGTAGTTTTCAATTTAAAGAACATGTTCATCACATAAATTCAACTGGTAAAATGTTGTAGAGACCAGGGCTCTGATTACTTTTATAATTACAGAGAAGCAGACTGAAGAAATAGAACAGGAATTAGAAGATCAATATAAACATACATTTGAACATAGAATCACAAAGTGGTCACATAAAGGGTTAGGATTTGATGATGACAAGAAGAGTGAGGAGAAAACAGAATCCAGCCAATCAGGAGAAAGCAAACAAGACTCTGAAAATAAATCTGTGTCAGAACTAAAAAGTGATGACCAATCAGGAAAAAAGAGAGAAAGTAGTGAGCCCGCAAAAAAGAGAGAAAGTAGTGAGCCCGCAAAAAATCCAGAAATTCCCCCAAAGAAACCCAAAATGATGATGAATTTTGTTAAAGCCAGCGACTGAATTTTTTAATTTTTAGGCAAGGGACATCACATGTGAAAGAGTATTGAATACATAACATGCATGCTATGATTTGTATACAATATGGAAGATAAAGAATGGCATATTTTATGTTTTACTTTATGATAAGATATGATTCAATAGATTGAGAGAGACATCTTACTTACCCAAGTTTGTGCTCAACTATATAACAAAAAATGCTGTTGGCAAGTCTTCAGATTTTAACAAAGTTTAAAAAAGGTTCATGATTTAAATTATGTTTTATTTTTTTGTATCTAGGAATTTTTGAAGTGGTCATGTGTTCATGATAAGAAACTTGCAGCCAGAAACAACAAGTAATAGAAAGAGCACCAAACACAAGGCTATCTGATTTGTATGAAGGGGCTACAAGTATATATAGATTGCAGAGTGTTTTGATGTTCTTTATCTTTTGTATCTTAGGTAAAAATAAAACAATTTCCCAGTCATCACAATATGAAGAGCCAGAAAAAGGTTACCAATAAACAGGCATCTGAATTTGACTTTTCTATCACTATTCATTTTCCTGTCATCACAATAAGCAAACCCCAGAAAAAATGTAGCCAATCAACAGACAGTGCAATAACTGCTTACTGGAGTGGTAACTTTAAAACACACTGTGCATGTATGGGTATATGATTTTTCCCAGACACATTTTCAATCGTAAGGTGCCCAACTATGATACAAAAATGCTTTTACTGTTTCATCTTGCACTGTATTTCTATTTCTATTTGTTTTTTTTCCATAAAAATACAAATTATATAATTCAGTATCATTTACATAGAATCAACTACTGTTACGGCTATTTAATGGTAGTCTCTTATTAAGATGTGTTCATCAAGATTTAATGCTAAATGAGCCTTGATAAAATTGTACATGTATTGCCATTTCAGTTGAAAAACATTTTTTGAACATTCATTGAAGGATGTGTTTTTTGTTGTTTAATTTAGCTGAACTTAAGAATAGAATTACTAGAGGGAATACTTGTGACTGTATTATTCCTTGTTCTTAACTCAACTTTTCAAAGCAAAAAAGTTTAGCTTTTGTCAAGACCCTCTTGCCAGCTTTGTTTAGGAAATAGATATCAATTCTGAGTGCAATGTTGTAGAATAATGCACGGTTTGAGTTCAAATGCGTAGTAATATAATCACGAAGGCCGATAGGCCTGAGTGATTAATTACAAAGCATTTGAACGAAAAACGTGCATTATTATACAATAATGCACGAAGAATTAATATCTATTTCCATTCTAACACATCAAGAAAAAATATAATTATTATTATAAAGTTGGACTGGTTAAATTTGTTTTCGCCTCAGAGTTTCCAATAGAAACGTTCTTTAAAGGCTGATCCAGTGGGTTGATAAAAACGGTCGTTAAATCTACCGTGTGTGTAGAAACATTTTGAGAATAACGAACGTTGATAAATTTGTGTTTGTTTATTTTATTTCACTCTATAATTTTTCAAGCGAAATACAAACTATTTAAAGTGAAATAAATGTAAAACTTAACTCGTTTGCGACACTAAAATAGCGTACTTGATCTGATTGTTTTGCACGTGCTGCTTGGCGCTACATTGTGACGTCACGTAAACAATACTTTAAACGTCTGTACAGCGTTAACGACTGAATTAAAGATATTGGTGTTCGGATTCATTTTCTTAGTTAGACCATTTTCTTTCATTCTAGATAGTTTTTACAACAAAATTTGACAAAAAATTGTTTTTTATTAATCAGATTTTTCAAACAAAATGGCGCCCTTAATGTGAAAAACGCGGGAGATAATAAGAACGGTGAGTGCATTGTTGTAGAACAATGCACGCTTCGGGCCTTCTTTGTTTATATAGAAAAAATTCCAATAGTGTTAGAATTAACCTTTTTGTTTAAGTTCATTTGCTCAGAAACTGTATAAGCTATTCACTTCAAACTTGGTATACATGTTTATTATCATAAAAGGATGCTATGTGAAAAGGGCAGATAATCTTTAAAATATTTTATTCAAAGTTATGCCCCTTTTTGAACTTAGATTGTTAGCCCTTGTTTACCTTATGTTTTCTTAGAAACTATCAGTCATTCACTTCAAACTTGCTATATGTTCACTATCAAAATATGACATCATTGCAGTAGGGCATGTAATCCTAAAATTCATTTTTGAAAACTAACATATATACCCTTGTTTTCTTTTTTTTTTTCTCTGAAGGTCAATTTCTCAACAACTATTCAAGTTAAATACTTCGAACTTGGAATCAATTTTTTAATTGGAATGCATTTCTAAAGGGCATTTCTCACTCAAAAAGAATCAAAGATATTCACTTTAATATTGGGTTACTTGTCCACTGGCAAATTTGAAATGCATTTCTAACGGGCAGATAATCCTGAAATCCATTTTGCTTAATTTCTCAGAAACTGTTAAAGGTTATTTCAGACTTGAAATATTTGTTGACTGTCAAAAGCAGGTAGGTTTTGTAAGCATTTTTGCTTTATTTAAAAAAACTTTTTGTTTTTAATTAAATTAAAATTAACATGTGAGGTGGGGACACTGTCCATGGACTTTCTTTTTGTAAAAGGAACTTTTTTTAAATTTTTATTTAAAGTAATTTTTTAACAAAATTGTATGCTTTCTCATAATATGTTTGAACATTAGATAATGTTTTAATTGTATGTGAAGGATTATGAACAATATTCTTTCCTGTTAACGATGCATTATGGTATTGAGAGAGGACATTTATACATGTAGTGGTAAGAAACTTGATGCATTATATAAAGTTTTATCATGTAACAATAGTTTGTAAGCTGTAAAGCAGATAGTTTTATCATTGATCTGATTTGCAGTGGATGGTATGGATGTATTTTACCAGTCTTAATGGACTTTAACAATTAATGAAATAAACTTTTAAAATTGTAGATCTTTTTACTCATTTTACATGCCATATTGACTGTTTTGCCTTTGTTTTGCCATTGATTTTGGCCTATCAATCTTTTCTGTTGACAACACTTGAAGCTTCACAAAGAAGACCTGGAAGCACTATTGTACTTACTATAACATAATTATAATACTTAAGTGGTGTTATGTCCCTTTGAAGCATACTTCTTTCTGATTCATAACAGGATTTTTAACTGCATATTTTCAATGATGAAAATTACTTATGACCATTTAAATAATCCTGTACAAAATATTGTCTATGTTTATACTCGAGTCATATGTTTTCCAAAGGTAAATTATGAAGCAAATTCAACTATGAATGCAGTTTTTGCCACAAGGAATGGATGAGGGGGGAGTTACATCTTGACTTGGACAAACATTCATTTAGTATTATAACAATAATTTGTATGTCTTTATTCAACTAGATTGTTGAGAAAAATGTTGAACCTTCATGAAAAAAAACTGTACAATACACAAGCCTGTAGAGCATATTAGGAGAGAACAAGGCATATTGGAAATCTTCAAGTGTTTGCTTGGGCATACTTTATTATATGGTTGAACAAACAAAAAAGACAATTCTTTTGTTTAACTTGTTTATTTTTAACATTAATTTTTATTTTATTAAACAAAGTTGGCCCCAAGCAGTTGATTAATCAAAAATAAATAAAAGAATATTCTCAGCAGCAAAACTAATTGCATATACTTATACATTGTATATGAAACAATAAAACATGAATTGAATGTTTATAAATGAGGGTTTTTGTTACGCGTATTTCCAAGGTTTGGGATTAAGTCTTTTTTGAAGAATAAAAAAGGAATAAAAAATGAAAAGCTTTAAAAATAATAGATTTCATAAAAAAAGCAAAACAAGCCACATTTTAAGTTTTAAAAAGCTATTTTTCATGATAAATTTTTAAAAATTATGATAAGTTTTTACCTTCGACCTTATCAAATTATTATAATCTTAAAAAAAATTTTTTTCACCCCCGGGGGGGTTATGGGAATAAAGACACATTATCAGAAAAAAGAAAATTTTTTTTACAATAAAGGGAAAGCAAAAATTTTTCTCTGGAGGTTTTTTAAAACTAAAAAAATTTTTAAGAAAATAATGTTTTCAGTTTAGTGGTTTCTATATGCATACTTTCCACTGATATAAAACTTGATCATTTATTCTTTAAGCCTTTCACACTACTATTAAGTTTCTTCTATGAAAACTACTTGACAATCCTTGAACTGACCAAGATAAATAACAATATAAGTAAAATAGCTTTTAGTACAAATACTTCATGATTATAATGTTTCACTGGGAATAATAATATGGTTTCAAATAATAAAATACAGTAAAGATTAACAAATGCAGGTACATATTTCATAGACAGCATACATCAATATCACTAAACTGATCCTTGTATTAATCACAGCTGAAGAAGAAAAATTACTCCATTTCATAATATATAAACACTTAACTTGTCAAATCCCTTAAACTTGTCCAGTTTCTTTTTTCCCCAACTATCCACAATCAATTTAGGGGATATTACCATTTAAATTTGGGCCTGGTCAGACATGCTGGAAATAAATTTAATAAACGGTATCTGTTAAATGGGTAGGGAAACTACTTTGTGGCTTATTATGAAATGAAATGTTCATAACAGTAGTACAACTCAGTCATACAAAAAATTGATAACATGCAAAAACATGCAAAATCATCTAAAAATAACATATTGCATAATATAGTTCTTGAAATAGTCTTAAAAATAAAGTGGGCAAGGCAAACTTTACAGAATATGAATCATACAATCTATACATAATAATAATAATAGAAAAACAATAATGTATCATTTAATAGTACAATTTAATTGGTCTAATTCTTTTTTAAACTAAAAAGAAAAAGCAAAAAATATAACATACAGCATTATTGAAAACATTATGCAAGGTGATTTATAACTAGCATTTGAATGCATCAAATGAAAGTTGTAGCCAAGTTTTATAATTAATACTGTTAGTATAATGGTATATGGTTATGTATGGAACATGGGTGTCCTGTAAGATACTAATCACTTTTCCTGCAGATTTTGTGTAATGACTTTACCAAGCTTTCAATTTGAGAAAGTTCTTAGTAGTTTAATTAAGAGACTAATGTTATCAAAATAAAAAAGAGCTACAAACTTTAAAGAGCCTGATAAGACTGTACAAATGTGCAGACTTGTCTGGCTCTATACTTTTGGCAGAGGCTATTCAGTTCCAAGAATAGTATTCTAAGGGTATTGATAAAAAGTCAACAAAATTGTATGTTTTTTTGAGAATTTAGCAGCTTAGTGCGGAATTCATTTACAAAATCACAATTATTTCAAAATTTGTTTGTCATCAGAATTGAATGAAGCAGCTTAGTGCAGTTTTTTTTTTACAAAATCACAATTATTTCACATGGACAAAAATTGTTAAAAAATGTTCAATCCTGAATACATGTATCTTCAGGAGTCATCCAAATTTACCAACTGAAAATACTGTATTAGCTTCCTTTCATCTGATCTGTCATCAAATCATATCGATTTTTAATATGGTTAAAATTTGACACATCAAAAATTATTTCATTACCTAAATGGCATATCAGATTTAAAGAACAAATTAATGAAAATGGTTTATAATAGTAAAACTTGCTTGAAATGAACTGGTCTGTGTGTATTATACAGACAGGTCAACAATGATCACAATTATGATATATAATTTATAAATGAGGCATGAAAAACAAAAATTATAGGTATTTAGACTGTAAGGGACGCCAATTATAATTTACCCTCATGATTGTTGTAAAACCTACATTGCATATAAGGTTTTTCATCAGCACTACAATGCTGTTATACATCTCCAAAGAAAATATAATAGTCTATTTGGCGTCCAACATAGCTTTTTTATGTCTTATTGATAGAATATAGAAAAAAAATAGAAGAAATAATTATATAATATCTACAAATTAAGCATATATTACAAGTGTATGAGACAGGTGGTTGAGGTACTATGTAAATGTTTAAAGCTAGTCATTCCTTGTATACAATCTGTAGATACTCATGTATTCTAGCAGAACAACAACATTTTAAAATACACATTATATTCACAAATGTCACACAGAATAATGCTTGTACACATAAATAGAGGAATTCATCACAAGGTGACATAGCAACACTTTCAACATTATTTATTTTAAAATTTTAAAATTACATTCCCATACCTGATCTTAAAATAAAGCTAGGAAGCATTTATGTAATAATAAAAGCTTTGTTTTGAAGATTGAATTGTGTGTAATAATATGGAAGCTTGGTTAGAGGGGTTCTTAAAAATTGTATACAACTGATCATGTGTTATAATAATATTTAAATAAACAGCATCCGTATGATGTAAATAACTTTACTTTCATAGACAAGAATACTTATTCCATGTACATAACTTACATCTCTGTCATTTCATTCATATTAAGGGATATAATATCCACTCTGATTTCATTTGTGTGCACGATTCTCTTACTAGAAAATAGATAAAAGAATCATAAATTTTAATGTTGAAAGTATTGTTGGGCTCATCAACAACATTGATATGAATTCAGACAATTCCTGGTTTTATCTATTTAAGCATGATAGTTGCATGTACATTTGAGCAATCTATAATTGGAATAAAAACTGTATTTACTGTACAGTACTACAATCATACATGTATAATGTTCTCCTCCTCTAAACATAACAGTACAAAAATGATGAAATAAAAGTTTTTTTCACATGGGATACAAATTAAATCATCACAGTTTTTGTTTCTATGTTGGACGGTAACAAATGAACACACTTTTTCTGCCATGAAGCAGTCTATAAATACAAGTCAAATAACTAGCGCAATCCAATATTTGGCCTCCTTTGTTTACAATATCCCAATGAATGATGTAGTACGAACATCCACTGTCAGTATTTTAACACTGGTTAAAAACCTTTCCATATCATATCAGTATTAACTGTTATAAAATGCAAACATATCCATCATTACAGTTAAACTTTATATCAGTCAACTGAGTTACAATATTACAAAGCAGCTGTGATACATAAATTCTACTGTAGCAGTCTTCTCTTTCAGTTAAACCTTTTTAAAAACAAAGTATTGACGTATACACATTAGGTCAGCACTATTCTTATTTTTTTGTCGGATTATTTTTGGTAGTTTGTTTCACTGCATTGCCTTTACTCTGTATTGGTGTGTTTCTATGGTTAGTTATGGGCGTGGCTCTGGAAGCATTCTGTGTACCAGGTCTAGGCTGTGGAGTGTTTGAATGAGCAGCCCGTGAGCTTGGCAATGGTGACTTGGAGATAGGTTTTGTGTTTGCATTTGATGGTTTCAATGATGATCCGGGACTGTTACGTGGGATACTTCCTGTTGATGAACGGTTTTGACTTACTCTTGACGAATTCTACAAAAAAATAGAACACATAAGTATAAAAATAAATGTTACATGCCAGTCTTACTGCATGTTGAATATAAAAAGTATAAATAACTACATATTGTATATAAAATATATAAATAACTACATATTGTATATAAAATGTATAAATAACTACATATTGTATATAAAATGTATAAATAACTACATATTGTATATAAAATGTATAAATAACTACATATTGTATATAAAATGTATAAATAACTACATATTGTATATAAAATGTATAAATAACTACATATTGTATATAAAATGTATAAATAACTACATATTGTATATAAAATGTATAAATAACTACATATTGTATATAAAATGTATAAATAACTACATATTGTATATAAAATGTATAAATAACTATATATTGTATATAAAATGTATAAATAACTACATATTGTATATAAAATGTATAAATAACTACATATTGTATATAAAATATATAAATAACTACATATTGTATATAAAATATATAAATAACTACATATTGTATATAAATAACTACATATTGTATATAAAATGTATAAATAACTACATATTGTATATAAAATATATAAATAACTACATATTGTATATAAAATATATAAATAACTACATATTGTATATAAATAACTACATATTGTATATAAAATGTATAAATAACTACATATTGTATATAAAATATATAAATAACTACATATTGTATATAAAATATATAAATAACTACATATTGTATATAAATAACTACATATTGTATATAAAATGTATAAATAACTACATATTGTATATAAATAACTACATATTGTATATAAAATGTATAAATAACTACATATTGTATATAAAATGTATAAATAACTACATATTGTATATAAATAACTACATATTGTATATAAAATGTATAAATAACTACATATTGCATATAATAACTACATATTGTATATAAAATGTATAAATTACTACATATTGTATATAAAATGTATAAATAACTACATATTGTATATAAAATGTATAAATAACTACATATTGTATATAAAAGTATAAATAACTACATATTGTATATAAAATGTATAAATAACTACATATTGTATATAAAATGTATAAATAACTACATATTGTATATAAAATGTATAAATAACTACATATTGTATATAAAATGTATAAATAACTACATATTGTATATAAATGTATAAATAACTACATATTGTATATAAAATATATAAATAACTACATATTGTATATAAAATATATAAATAACTACATATTGTATATAAATAACTACATATTGTATATAAAATGTATAAATAACTACATATTGTATATAAAATATATAAATAACTACATATTGTATATAAAATATATAAATAACTACATATTGTATATAAATAACTACATATTGTATATAAAATGTATAAATAACTACATATTGTATATAAATAACTACATATTGTATATAAAATATATAAATAACTACATATTGTATATAAAATATATAAATAACTACATATTGTATATAAATAACTACATATTGTATATAAAATGTATAAATAACTACATATTGTATATAAATAACTACATATTGTATATAAAATATATAAATAACTACATATTGTATATAAATAACTACATATTGTATATAAAATGTATAAATAACTACATATTGTATATAAAATGTATAAATAACTACATATTGTATATAAATAACTACATATTGTAAATAAAATGTATAAATAACTACATATTGTATATAAAATGTATAAATAACTACATATTGTATATAAAATGTATAAAAGAGCTGTGTCATGACAAAACCAACATAGTGCGTTTGCGACCAGCATGGATCCAGACCAGCCTGCGCATCTGTGCAGCCTGATCAGGATCCATGCTGTTCGCTATCAGTTTTTCTACTTGTAATAGGGTTGGTAAGCGAACAGCATGGATCCTGATCAGACTGCGCGGATGCGCAGGCTGGTCTGGATCCATGCTAGTCGCAAACCCATTATGTTGGTTTTGTCATGACACGGCTCAAATAACCATTAAATAATCTGCAAAATGTCATTTGTAAGTAAAAGCCTTTTTGTTGTTTGTTTTTAAGTAAACAATCTGTTTTACTGGAATAGATTTACTGCATATTATTGTAATATTAAATTACAAAATAAAGTTCTTAGATTACTAGATTTGCATTTCATATGTTATCAAACTGTCATTATACCTTTCCACCAGAGCCTGGTTTCTTCGCATCTGAACCTTTCCTATTAGATTCACTTGATGTTGATATAGAAGGCTCATTGTTGTTTGTTTCCTCTGTGTGGTTTTCACTGTTCACCTGTGAACTCTCATCACCATCTTCATTGCCATTTATTGCACTATTTTCACCATCTATCTTCAAATCTTTCCATTCCTTCATCAGTTCTAGAACATTTGCTGACTGCCTTGCCTGATCACCCTGAAATATTCATACATGTATCATTATACTGACATTGGTACATGCTAACAAACTCCCGTCTTGATAAGCGTTAGTAAAAAATCTGAAAACTGTACAACAGAATCAGATTTTATTTGAAGCCACAATATCCAGTGGTTTTATTTTTAAATCCAAGGATCTTTCCTAATGCATTAACTCATTTGGTTATTAATGAAACTGCAAAATGTAAGACTTATATACCATTATAACAAAAAGCCTTACAACATTGTTAAAGAAAAAAATTATTTCAGAATTTAAAAACTTTCAGAAGTCATCGTTAAATCTTGCAAACATGGCAGAATCAGCCTGTGTATATATAAGTAAAGCAATAGAAATAATTCATACTGTAATCCAATGGTGGTTTAAAACTTCACTAGCTGTCAATCTGTGGGCAGGATCTGTATTCAACATCTTCTTTATACATTCTTTAGCTAGAACATACAATTACAAGCATAATAAATAAAACTTTGTGATATGCTCTGTTAAAACATTGGACCATTCATAGTATATGCTCAATAAATGGTGAACCATTCATAGTGTTATGCTCTTTAGATAATTAACCATTCAAAGAGCACTTGCCTGCTATCAAAAAAAAATGTTTTCTGGTCTTCTAGGTACAAAATAAAGCTGTTTTTGTAATAAAATATTATCTCAATATGTATAAAGATTCACTTGGGCAAAAAGATAAAATTGATGCCGACAAAACTTTACTTGACTTATTTTGAAAAAAAAATCAATTGGAAACGAAATGTTAAGAACAGAAATCTGTAATGATACAGCAGATAAAGATCAGTATATTATTCAATTTAAATTTACACAGAATATAGAAATAAATTATATAGATTATATATTTGTTACATTTTAAGTATATTTCTGCACGAAAAAAAGAGAAACAAGAAAACTGTTGTAGAGCAGCTTGATAAGTTACCATGCAGAGTTTATACTAAATAAATGCTTAGTTACAAAAATCCTTCAGTTTTCTAATAAAATTCTTTAATCAACCAAATAACAAAAACCATGCCCACATGCTGGGGAACAAATTTCTAACTTGAGGAACTAATGCCATTCTAAAACTTGGCTGTTATGACCAATCATGCATTATTGCTATATATAAATGTATACTACATCACATGAGTACTCCACTTGACAAAAACTGAAAGCTTTTTAACAATACTGACATTCAAAAACATGTCCATCTAATATTTGACAGTTCAGAAAGGCTTACAGTTTACATCAGTTTATATCAGCAGCAATTTGGAAGATTGTAGATGTCAACCTAAAAAGTCAAGCCAGCAAAGAAAGCTTTGCATGCAATAGATAGAATAAAGAAATATATGATACTTAAGTCCTGTATATGTAATAATATACATAATTACTTGTATATTGTACATGCATGTAATACACTTTGTGAGGTCTTAGCAATAAACAATTGTAATCCAAATATGATCAAAGAATTACACCCTTCCTCACTCAGACCATAATATATGTACAGTCAGTGTATCATACAAAAGTCAAGTTTTACATAAGATGCTTTTATATGATAGTGGAAGTATAAGTCACTTATTGCATGGTATAATCTCTATATATTAATGATAATATAAATAAGAGCAATAGCACAATAAATATATTTTTTTCATTTGAATTTTGAATTAAATTAAAACAGATCTTGTTCTGGAGTTTGATACTTGAATATCCTAAATATGTGAATATGCTAGATGTTGTTCTGGAGTTTGATACTTGAATATCCTATATATGTGAATATGCTAGATGTTGTTCTGGAGTTTGATACTTGAATGTCCTAAATATGTGAATATGTTAGATGCTGTTCTGGAGTTTGATACTTGAATGTCCTAAATATGTGAATATGTTAGATGCTGTTCTGGAGTTTGATACTTGAATATCCTAAATATGTGAATATGTTAGATGTTGCTCTGGAGTTTGATACTTGAATGTCCTAAATATGTGAATATGTTAGATCTTGTTCTGGAGTTTGATACTTGAATGTCCTATATATGTGAATATGTTAGATCTTGTTCTGGAGTTTGATACTTGAATGTCCTAAATATGTGAATATGTTAGATCTTGTTCTGGAGTTTGATACTTGAATGTCCTAAATATGTGAATATGTTAGATGTTGTTCTGGAGTTTGATACTTGAATATCCTAAATATGTGAATATGTTAGATGTTGTTCTGGAGTTTGATACTTGAATATCCTAAATATGTGAATATGTTATATGTTGTTCTGGAGTTTAATACTTGAATGTCCTAATTGTTCTGGAGTTTGATACTTGACTAAATATGTGAATATGTTAGATGTTGTTCTGGAGTTTGATACTTGACTGTCCTAAATATGTGAATATGTTAGATGTTGTTCTGGAGTTTGATACTTGAATATCCTAAATATGTGAATATGTTAGATGTTGTTCTGGAGTTTGATACTTGAATATCCTAAATATGTGAATATGTTAGATCTTGTTCTGGAGTTTGATACTTGACTGTCCTAAATATGTGAGATCTTGTTCTGGAGTTTGATACTTGAATGTCCTAAATATGTGAATATGTTAGATCTTGCTCTGGAGTTTGATACTTGAATGTCCTAAATATGTGAATATGTTAGATCTTGTTCTGGAGTTTGATACTTGAATATCCGAAATATGTGAATATGTTATATGTTGTTCTGGAGTTTGATACTTGAATATCCTAAATATGTGAATATGTTAGATGTTGTTCTGGAGTTTGATACTGTCTTGAATATCCTAAATATGTGAATATGTTAGATGTTGTTCTGGAGTTTGATTCTTGACTGTCCTAAATATGTGAATATGTTAGATGTTGTTCTGGAGTTTGATACTTGAATATCCTAAATATGTGAATATGTTATATGTTGTTCTGGAGTTTGATACTTGAATATCCTAAATATGTGAATATGTTATATGTTGTTCTGGAGTTTGATACTTGAATATCCTAAATATGTGAATATGTTATATGTTGTTCTGGAGTTTGATACTTGACTGTCCTAAATATGTGAATATGTTAGATGTTGTTCTGGAGTTTGATACTTGACTGTCCTAAATATGTGAATATGTGTTAGATGTTGTTCTGGAGTTTGATACTTGAATGTCCTAAATATGTGAATATGTTAGATGTTGTTCTGGAGTTTGATACTTGAATATCCTAATATGTGAATATCTTAGATCTTGTTCTGGAGTTTGATACTTGAATGTCCTAAATATGTGAATATGTTAGATGTTGTTCTGGAGTTTGATACTTGAATATCCTTAATATGTGAATATGTTAGATGTTGTTCTGGAGTTTGATACTTGAATATCCTAAATATGTGAATTTGTTATATATTGTTCTGGAGTTTGATACTTGAATATCCTAAATATGTGAATATGTTAGATGTTGTTCTGGAGTTTGATACTTGAATATCCTAAATATGTGAATATGTTAGATGTTGTTCTGGAGTTTGATACTTGAATATCCGAAATATGTGAATATGTTATATGTTGTTCTGGAGTTTGATACTTGAATATCCTAAATATGTGAATATGTTAGATCTTGTTCTGGAGTTTGATACTTGAATGTCCTAAATATGTGAATATGTTATCACCATATTGCATCAAATGTAAATTTCATCAAACATGGACAAAAAATTACTTTACAATGTTACTTATTATAACACATGCACATTTTGCTCCATATCTATACATATTCAGTACAAGGACCTTGCTGTGTTCCCCTTTCATTCAACATCATTTATAGTGACTGATACAACATACAATATAATGCTAGGCAGCAAGAGCCTGCATCTCAGTGAAATCCATGTTTCAATGTGGAAAACAAAACATACAAGTGACTTGTTGTAAACAGCGAGATTTAAGCAAAGGATGATACAGGCAAAGACAAGCAAGCTATAGCCTTCTCTTGTCAATACAAGCAGTGAAGAGAAGGTATACATGTGAATCTATCAGGACTCTAACCAATTAATGAAAATTCCACTTTTATTCAGTGATCCAATTCTCAAAAATTTATTATTATAATAAATTTTATCAAATGCAATGTCTATATTATGACAGACTTGTAAAAAGCAATCAAGTGGAATTTTACATCCTTGGTACTTGACAAACCTTGGGCGGACACCTGATTCCAGATTTTATCAGGGGTAAATTCCACGTAACCTTGTTTAATAAGTTCATACAGTGTTTCCTCATCTTTGGCCTGAAAGGGTGGGTTACCACACAATCTAGACATAACAAAAAACATGTTAGAAATTATAAACAAACTACACATAAACAAACCTTCATCTGACACTTCATTCCACGTTTCATCTGTGAAGTCAATATCTCCTTTTTTGATGATATCGTATAAAGAATCGTCATCATTTCTAGACCGAAATGGGAAGTAACCACAAAATCTGTGTGAATGGCAGATAAAGTTTTTTTGTTTTTTTTTAAAGTGTAATTGCTTATTTGATCACACCCTAAATAGTTGATGTTCCTGATGTCATAAAAAATATCACATTAAAGATGAAATGGAATATTTTCAATTTAATGTGTGCCATCAATGTGCAGAAGTTTACCCTAGAGGAAAACCACTTTCTATCAAATTAATGTCATTCTCTGATGTCATGAAATATTATCAGCAGAGCATTACATGAACAAGAAATACTTGACCCAATTATGATTTCTGTAGCCAAATTAATACATGTTCAGCAACTGGCTAATGGTAGAGTGAGTCCTGAAGTATATCTTGGAGAATGAGTAAGTCAATATAAGTCTATGAACTGGACATACAATACCTTCATCATGTACACCATTTACAATGTAAGCATTTTATTCATTACATAAGGAAACAATAATTATCTAAGAATAATTTTGTATATCTTTTCTAGAACAAGGCAAGCATGACTCAATCAAGAAATGTATACATTAACATGGCAAGTGTATGGATTAGTTAGACATATTAAAATGTAAACAATATACTTACAAGGTATAAACAATCACACCCAATGCCCAGACATCACATTGTTGACTGTATGATTTATTATCTATAATCTCTGGCGCTGCAAATATAAATCAGATAAAATTTTCATATAAATGACGAATTAATGACGTAAAAAACAAACCAGACTATTCATGTGTATTTGATAACAAGTATGCTAACACAAATGAAATAAAAACATGGTGGAAAGCTAAAGCAGACGTGATGATTAATGACACTTTAAATATGGCACAAACACAAACATATCATTAAATATCTAGTTTTAAAGACACATTTTCACAGATGGAGAAATCTTACATAATACAATCAGCTGATGTAGTACAATACAGAACCAGTATTAAAACAATATATTTTGTGAATACTGAGAAATACATAGAAGAATGTTGTTTAACAACATTGTTTAAAGTATTCAGACTGTTAAATATTTCAAATAATCACAGATTTTGTCCGCTTTTAAGTCACACCACCACTGTAAAGGTAATATGACAACTTTCCAGCTTTACTAGTAGTTATACTTCAGGTTAAGAATATTTAACTGGGTTTGATATTAAAGTGCCTCCTTCACAATATCTTTTTTTTTTTCACCCCGAAAAAGAGTCAGTGAGTGGTACAAGAAGTACACACCTGTAGATGTACAGTTTATGTACATAAATATCATGAATAATTACCAGAATATATAACTTACAATAAAGATTCATCAATGTACGCTACATGTCCTTGTACACATATTATATAAAGGAGTAAATCAATATTCTTCTTAACTTTTTTCAAGTACCTTAAACTTTTTATCAGTGCATTGCATATTGTTCAATATAACTTATAACAGTCTTTAAAAGTTTGCAAACATTATCTTGCCAAGGAACATGTAACTTTGAAAGCCGCAGCAAATTATGTATAATGTTATTCTGTGTTACTAAGTAACACAGGCTTACCCATATAGTTTGGCGTTCCACAAAAATCTTGCATCATATTGTCATGTCCTACCCCACTCTTTGTTATAGACAAACCAAAATCTGTCACCTGCAATGAAATAACAATAAACACCTGTATCACAAATAACATACATGTATACATTAATTAATGTACTTCACTAAGGACAGGGAAGGACTAAGAGAAACCATACTAATTAATTCATGTACACTAAATTATACACCTGACTAAGCTTTGAATGCAGAAGTGCTTGAAATAGGAATGACTACTCACAGAATAGTTAGGTGTAAATTCTTAGCTCAAAAGAATAAAAATGGCCTTGTTAACCATGCACAGAAAAACATACAACTAATACCTTTTTTTTTCTTAAATGAGTTTGTCATCTTTATTTTGAGCAACTTTGTGTAAATAATAAAAAATCTTTTAGTTTATATTAAAATTGTTAAAGAGTCAAGCATTTAAGAAGCAAAGTATATATGTGTTCCTTACCTTGATTTGAAGTCTGTCTTCAGGATTTGTGGCATCTGGGAATTTGCTGACAAGAATGTTCTCTAACTTTAAATCTCTATGTACTATATCTGAAATACAATTTTTTTTATTATTTTGTAATATAGAGGGCATTTAAGGCCAGGTTATTGTCTGACCAGATTCTTTACTATATAAATTGTAGCACTTTTACATTGAAAGGCTTAAATGAACAATCCTAAATATTCAATCATTCCAATACATATTCTATATTCTAATTTCCATGTACCATGTACCTGTAGAAGTAATGCTAACCAAATTATCATATAAACCTGCTTGTTTTCCTTTAACAGTGCAAAAGTTAAATACCAATTAACTGTATATGAAAGGACAGTTACAATTAGCTTGGGAATTATTCCACACCCCAAACATGTAATCTTATAATTAACATTTTACAGAAATCACCAGTCATGTTTAAGTTCTTTGAAAAGGAATAAATAATTCACAAGCCTTTCACTTATTTATAGAAACCAGTTGTTAAATAGACAATAAAGATCCATCACTTTTATTGTAAAATAGCAAAGATCAAAATACCAGCAATAAAAGGGAGGTAATAAATATCCCACACAGACAAGAGCTTGTTAAAATCAATTCTGAGAGTTGATGAAGCAAGAGAGGTTTATGAGTTCATGAAATGTTCATCTTAAATTATAAATGAAAAATATTGAATGTTTTATTATAATAAACAATACAATTATGTAACAAATCATGTCCAATTTGTTTGCTACATTAACTAACAAGAGCACCGCTAGGCGGAACATTATATGCCCGAAAGTACTTTCTCTTTTAGTAAGGATGAAGCATTTGTAAGACATGGGAATTAAATACAGTATCATCTCCTTCAAAAAGCAATCCTCCTTTATAGCTGAAGAACATTCATGTATATAATTATATACAGTTGCTGTTTAAAAGCACCACCATCAAGTTGTTATCTTGTAAGTACATATGCTATAACGGATGGACGGAAAGACGTCAGTGGTATAAAACTGTTAATCCTATATAATTTTACAGCTGTAGGTTGATAAGTACTTAAGTTATGGAGCGAAAACTGTTTCCAGTTTGAAGGTGATAATGACCTTGATCTTTGATCTTGTGACCCCAAATCAATAAGCTCTTCTACCCAATATGGACAATAAACCTATGAAGTATGAATACCATTTTCTGTATAAAGCTAATAGTGACCTTGACCTTTGACCTTGTGACCCAAAACTCAATATGTGTCTTCTACCTAATATGGACAATCATCCTATGAAGTTTGAATACTGGGCCAAATGGAACTTAAGTTATGCTCCGGAAACCATTTTCAGTATTTAGCTAATAGTGACCTTTGACCTTTTGAACCCAAAATCAATAGGGGTCTTCTACCCAATATGGGCAATCATCCAATGAAGTTTGAATACGGTGGGCCAAATGGAACTTAAGTTATGCTCCGGAAACCAAATTGCTAACAGTCGGAAAGACAGACGGACGCCAGGGGGTATAACATAATATGCCCGAAATTCTTTCGGGCATATAAAAAACCTACTTATCTAATCAGTGCTCCCCAAATAGGTTTTGATATCACTTGTAGTCAAGTTATGTCCGAGACAAAGTTCAAAGTGGAGAAATGAAAAAGGGCAATTACTCCAAAAATGGGCAAGTTTGAGTTATGGTCCTCATGCACTGTTCTTCTACTCAATGATATCTATATACCTATGGGGTTTCTAGTTGATACCTTTTGTATTTTCAGAGTTATGACACGGACAAGAAAATGCTGATGGACAGGCATAAGCGACTGTATGCTCTCCCTTCGAGGAGCATAATAAAATGAAAGAGAAGTGCAAGGACACACAAGCATTTAATTCAATCAGCTTGAAATTATTTGATTTACCTTGAAAATTTTATTAAGTATGTGCTAAAATACATCAAGCATTTGCAATTTTGCAATAAATTATATCCATACTTCTTAGTCTTAAAATTTATTTAAGTATTGATAAAAGTTTTTGAGAAACCTGTAAATATTGATCTTATAATTCCACCATGAGAATATCTGATCATATATTTTGTTTTGTCACTTGCCGTTAGATTTTAAAGGTGATAAAATGTAATTTTTTCAGAACAGTCCTATCTGTAAAGATTTTCCTGGCATGTTTATTTCCTCAATATGTTTGTATTTATGAATTTATAAAACCATGCTGTCACAGAGCTTGACAGAAGGGTAAAAACAAGCAGTTGTTTATTGAACTTAAGTCAATCATGTTTGAGTTAATCCACTTGTCTCACAGGGATAAATCTAACCAGTAACTAGCAGGCTGCTTTAGAATTTGGCCAAGAATAATGATTTTTGATACATGTAATATATCAATAATCAAGACATTAAAATCAGATAGACTGTGCGACAGTGTCTCCTTGTTTTAGATTGGTCCTTGTGATCTATTATAAAATAAATTTTACTTCATGTACCTTACTTTTTTAAACCATCTATCGTTTTAATCAGTAAATAAAAGCAAACACTTAATGTCAATAACATTCAAATTTGAACATTTCCCTGTATATGCATGTATATGTATATCAAACAAGAATAAAACATGAATTGGGTAAACATAATCATAGAATATATTTGCTGATGTGTATATACATGTATGTGTATTGGAACAGGAACAATACATAAGAAACAATGCATAAGATAAACCCCTTCAAGTGTCCTTTTCAAATATATCTTCAATATGACGCAAATCCAAACCTAATTCCTATATAAAAAGCTTAAAAGTTGCCTATAAACCTTTCATTTCTAGCAAAAAACAGGAGATAATGATAATCTTAAATGAGATTTATAAAGACACCATGATTGCCTGACATAGTGACAGGTATATCAATATTTTGCACACAAAAAATGGAAAATCAAATCTCATTATTTTTCTCTGTGGAGGTAAAGGAATCAAGCCTGTGGATGACAAAGATTGCCCTATTGTAATTAATTAAGATTTATCTGCAGATCTAAAGTCACCCTGATTTTTTTTCTCTCTCTGAACGCAATACAGTTCATATTGTTATAATATATCAATAATCAACAATGTTCCAAAGATAGCTGATCCTTCTTTATAATTAAATTTTCCTTTTTTCATTCTGTATGAAAAATGCACCACAAGACCCTTGTATGAAAATCTCTTTCTTGATGATGTAAAATATTGACCGCTTATCTAAATGTATTCATTTCTTTAATACTTTATTGATTCTGCTGGCTCAATGAATTTTCTTTCAAAAATAACTTAACCCTGTAAACGTGCCGTCTGTCAGCAGTTTATGAGACTAACTAAAGATAACTTACAACATCAAAAATAGTACATGCAGTACAAGATAACATAGACAATTAGTATTTATTGTGTCTATTTTGAATCATATTTCCCCTATAAAGATTCTGATTGACCTCATCACGGGTTCAGGTTTCAATCCATATTTTTCTTCTTTAGAACAATCAATATGAATTAAGTATCAACCTATATTTGATCAAACTCTCCTAACAAATCTGCCCAGTCATCAAGTAAAGGAGCACTCTCTGCATAACAATGAAATAAATGCTTTGAAAAAGTTCCATTCATAAAATATGAAACACAATTTTCTAAAAATATTTCATTTAGTATACCTGGCTATTGTATTTATTTTACCTTTTTAACATAGGATTGCCATGTTAATTAATATTTTATTATGGATTTAACTCACTACAGTGTTGGAGCAGTACCTCTAGGTGGTTCCAGAAATCATGATCACAAAGTAGACAAATATCACTTTTTCTGCCAATTCTTACATTTTTCATTTATTTTGGTACATAAATTGGTGTGAAAACACTTTTTTAGTCTCACTCTTTTATTATATTACACTAATCATAGAATGTCAAACTTAACTTACATTTGATATACTTTACTTTCTAAACTAGCCTTATATAGAATGCCAAGTTACCTTGAATGTTACTTGTTTTCACATCCGCTGTATTATTATCAGTTCTATCTACATGAAACAAATATTTACCGATTTTATGAAGATAGGTTATTGCACTTGCTAGTTCTTTTGTTATAACTTTTACTTCACTTTCCATGAAATATCTCTTCTCTTTCAGGGCCTCTGCTAACTCCCCACCTGTACATAGTTCCATTACCAGAAACATACGCTGAAAATAAATTTGTACAAACTTGTACTCTCTTCTAGATTACTAAATGAACAATCTAGAGGCTCCAGATTTAATGTAAACTAGAACTATTGCTGAATGCAATTGATACCCCCACCAATGTCCTTGATAGAAGCTGACTTGGATAGCTTTGTCAGGAAATTATTCTTATGTAATTTTGGGGGTCTGTGTGTTTTTTATTTAATGGGAAAAAAAACCAAAGATCACTTATTACACAAAATAAACAATAAAGAAAATGAGAAGTTCTGTAAAAGAAAAAATTGTATAATTTAAGGATGAGTATATTTCTTTAATTTGTTAACTTTTTTACTAATAATAATTGACCATTTCATAAATTGTGTTAAGTTCAAAAGTATATACAGGGTAAAACCATCTTGACCTTTTTTTCGTAGGTTGAAAGTTACATCAGAAATAATAAAAGGCAAATCAGAAATCATGTTGGGCTCTCACAAAATATTTAGACCTTAACATTCAATGATTACATTGTGCTATATAAAGAAAATAAATGCAGACAATAATTGTTAGATATTTGCATAAATAAGTAAAGATTGTTTATTGGGGGGAGGGGTTTTAAGACAATGAGGAGAATAACACTAATCTTTGTCTTATTTTAACTATGTTCATACATGATACTATCATTAATCCCTAAAACAGATTCTTTCACTAATCTCCAGGATTAACTCCCAGCCTTAATCCGTCAATGCCAAACTGTGTTTGAAATTGAAATAAGCAACTGTATTATGCATACTTTTTGAAATGAAATAAAATTTGGAAAAACATGTACAGCTTTTCAACAAAAGTACCTTACATTGTAGCTTAATTATTAACATATTTGTGTTAAAGAAGAATTTAAGCAAATTATTAAAGATAGATAAATTGTAAATTATAGTGACATGTGTTTAAATATACAATAAAATGATACATTTACATTGTATTTTAAAATAAAATAAATCAATTAACACCTGGGCCTGTTGTCATGTAAGTTTCCTTTAATGAATAACTTAAGCACCTGTGTATGATAGATTTTAGCAAGTTAAACAGAATAGATAAAAGATCAAAAGCTATGGCACATTGTTAGCTGTACATGATAAACATGAAATAAAATTATAAAAAAACATTTTTTATAAACAACCTTTTTAAATCAGACTTATAACCACAGACTGTCCATAAAAACAATAGGAACTTAATACAATGTACATGATTTATGACAGATAAAAGAAAGTCATTTTGAAACACTGATTCCTTACAAAATGTTTATCTATTCTTCAATCAAATTTATCTTACGATACAATATTTTACATAAAAGAGCAGAATGAAAGTTAATAAAGTTTTGATTGTTCTTTTAATATACTGTATCTTTATAACACATTTTCATTCAACTTCTGAATCTTTCTAGAATGGACAATTCTTATCAAGTTCATATCAGTGCTGGCAAAACCTCTGACAAAACACCCTTTTAAAGTTTAGAATACAACCTCAACATAGTCTTTGTAATGCACTTCTTGGATCAAACTATAGATAATTTTATAATATTGGTCTATCAAAATACGTATTTTTGCAGAAGAAATACAAAAACTTAAAGCACAACAAAACCCCTGTGTACAGTAATCTGACAAAACCCTCCCAGGTCAACACTCTTATTAAACTAATCTGTTAAGCTCAACATTTCAACAGAAACAAACAAGAAATAAATAATTCTCTTTTTCAAAAGATATACAAATAGTTACACATTTATTCACCATAAAGTAAATTCTTGGTTCAATCTTTATAAATAGACTTCAACCTTTAAGATAATATCTTTAATGCAGTGAAAGCCATTTTACTGTTGCAAATATGTATAAATTGACAGTCAATTCAAATGATTTTAATAGCATGCAAATTCAATTCAATTTTCATAGATTACCTGTCAAATTTTGTTGCCATTTGTATAGAAATGTTGCAAATGAAATAGCTTTTATTTTTTCTAAAATATATATTAAGAAAAGCCAGCATAAGTACAAGTAGGAAGATCAACATTTAGCAAAACAAAAATTTTACTTTGAATTTAAATAATACAAAAAATACCACATTTCAAAGTTTTAAACAATATTAAAAGTATTAAGTACATTATAAATTTATTACAACCATCTAAAAAGATTTAGGATTCTCTCATAGTTAATTAAAGCTAATTCAAGCAATGAAACATTTTGCACCTTTACTCCCTGAAATGGGAGTACTTGCCAACAATTTGAATGGCTGTTCTTTTCTTATTCAAAGGATTTCTATGCCAGTGAAGCAATCAACAGCCTTGTTTTGACTCCTGCAACAGAAGTGCAGGTGAGCATGGCTTGACCCTGTTAGTACAGGTTAGGTTATTATTTAGCAAGTTATCTAATCAGGAATGATTATAATTACCTTTCCTGTTTCAAAGACTTCATTAAGCTGTATAATATTACGATGTGAGACTTTCTTTAATATGGCAACCTCTCTTTCTAGTAACTTTATAGCTGAACTCCCAGCCTGAAAATACACAAAGTATGCATGTTTGAGTCTGAAGTATCACTGACAATGAGAGACACTATAAACTATTAAAAATCAAAATCTTTTTAACCTTGTGTTTGCATAATAACTATAATTCTTGTTTAATAAATTTTCAGGGGTATGAATTTCATTACTGCATAGACCGCCTTGAAATTTCTTTATCAATTTAAATTGTAAATTATTATCAGAACAATCGTTTGCATCTTTTCTTAACAACTTTTATATTTATTTTAATGTATAGAAATGTGTCTGTATAAAACATTTACTACATACATAAATGAAAAAACAATTACCTTTTCTTTGTTTATAAATTTCATAGCCCATTCTTCATTAGTTGCTTTATGTCGGACCTGGAACACCTTCCCGAAGGCTCCCTGACCTAGTTTTTCCCCTATCTCATAGCTCTCCCATATCATGTCTTCATTTTCTAACCGAGTGTGTGGTATAGACTTATCCGCACTTCCCTTCCGTGGTGCTGTCATCTTGTCCTAATTTGATATTTCATCTGTAAAATATAGAACTATTATACCAAATTGTTTCCCTGACTTCCCTTTACTTCTATTGCATTCCCTTTAATTGTTTAAACCAAAACCAATAATCTCACAGAACCAATATCTCATACTGGCTGTACTAGATATCAGACAAGTATGCATCAACACTCTGAAAGCAGTTTGATTTTCATATATTGCACAATCTCTTAGAAAATACACAACAATAAATAAAAGAAAACACAGTTTGACAGGAAATTAATATGACCTTGGTATATTCATAACAAGCATTACAAAATGTTTTAAAGAATGCCAACAAGTTTTAAATTATCAAAGTTATTAGGACAATGGTAAGGAATATTCTCCATTGATTGCAGTGAAATTCCAACTTATCTAAAGAAAACATACTGTGAGACATACGATAACATTAGAACTCAATGATTATGACTATATGATATCATTAACAAAAACAGTATAGTATGTTCACAGTGACATTACAAGTCAATGAAAGAGTGTATTCATAGTGACATTACAAGTCAATGAAAGAGTGTATTCATAGTGACATTACAAGTCAATGAAAGAGTGTATTCATAGTGACATTACAAGTCAATGAAAGAGTGTATTCATAGTGACATTACAAGTCAATGAAAGAGTGTATTCATAGTGACATTACAAGTCAATGAAAGAGTATGTTCATAGTGACATTACAACTAAATGAAAGAGTATGTTCACCGTGGCATTACAACTAAATGAAGGAGTATGTTCACAGTGACATTACAACTTACTGAACAGTACTTATGTTCATAGTAGCATGATACAAACTCACTGAAGAAGTAAACTCACAGTCACATTATAACTCAATGAAAGTGTATGTTCACAGTGACAATACAACTCATTTAACAAGTATGTTCAAAATGACACTGTTTAAGGTAACATTACAACTAAATGAAGGAGTATGTTCACAGTGGAATTACAACTAAATGAAGGAGTATGCTCACAGTGGCATTACAACTAAATGAAGGAGAATGTTCACAGTGGCATTACAACTAAATGAAGGAGTATGTTCACAGTGGCATTACAACTAAATGAAGGAGTATGCTCACAGTGGCATTCCAACTAAATGAAGGAGTATGTTCACAGTGGCATTACAACTAAATAAAGGAATTTGTTCACAGTGGCATTACAACTAAATGAAGGAGTATGCTCACAGTGGCATTACATCTAAATGAAGGAGTATGTTCACAGTGGCATTACAACTAAATGAAGGAGTATGTTCACCGTGGCATTACAACTAAATTAAGGAGAATGTTCACCGTGGCATTACAACTAAATGAAGGAGTATGTTCACAGTGGCATTACAACTAAATGAAGGAATATGTTCACAGCTGCATAACAACTAAATGAAGGTATATGTTCACAGTGGCATTACAACTAAATGAAGGAATATGTTCACAGCTGCATAACAACTAAATGAAGGAGTATGTTCACAGTGACATTACAACTAAATGAAGGAGTATGTTCACAGTGGCATTACAACTAAATGAAGGAATATGTTCACAGTGGGATTAAAACTCACTGAAAAATATGTTAGCATTGCCATTAAAGGTCAATGAAGATGTATGTTCACAGTGATATTACAACTCAAGCAACAAGTATGTTCATACAGTGATGTAACAACTCAATGGACAAGTGTGTTCATAGTGATTTTATAACTAACCGAAATAGCATGTTCACAGTGATATAAAAATTCACTGAAAGAATTTGTTTACAGGGACATTGCAACTCACTGGAGTAGTATGTTTGTGTTTGTGATTTAACAACTCAATGAAAAAGTATGTTCATAGTAACATTATAACTCAGTACAGAAGTATGTTCACATTGACATTACAACTTAATGAAAGATTATGTTCACACTGATATAACAACCTCAATGAAAGATTATTTTTAAAGTGACATTCAATTTCATTAAAAAAGTATGTTCACAATGAAAGAGAATATTCATAAATAAATTGCAACACTGTGACATTATTTATATCTCAACTTGTCCACAGTGACAGCAATAATTTGGTAGAAGTCAAAATATTTGCTATGAAAAGAAATTATACTTCAACTTCAATTTGTTTGACCTTTCTCATCAAAGTATTTCAAGACATTAATTGACAAAATTATGCCACCTGCCTACATTGGACATATAGCCAATTAAGGCGTTTATTCTGTAATTTTAGAAATATTAACAATACAATTTACTACAAAATTACACTAAAATATAAATCTCAAGCTTTTTGGCCTGTAATCAACAGAAAATCTTATTTATTAGTAACTATTAATTCAAAAAAAGCTATTCAACTTTAACTATACTGAACATAATAACCACATTTCAAAAATATCAAAAGATCATTGATATGTATTTAATAGAGAAGACATTTACCTTCTGCCAAGGATTTACAATGCCAATTTTTTCTTCTTCTTCAGAAAACCATACATTACTAAATTGAGCAATGAAAATAAGGTTTTCATTTTGTAGTTTTCAAGTGCTATGTCTAGGCCTAATATATTTTTAATTATGAAGAAGGAGGCTTAATAATAATTTGTTCAGTACAGAGTGAAATAATGGCAACAAGTAGTGAGTGCCACTGAGTGGTAAATCATAATTTGAGCAGCATTCTATTAAAGAAAACCAACCAATACTAGTAATTCAATGTTTTTGTCTGTGTAAATTTTTTCACACAAGTTTTTGTTACATATTGAAAAGCACTGATCATTGATTACTTCTTTTAATTGCTCTTTTAACCAAACAAATACCAGTAATTTTATTATGAAAACCAGTTTATACAAAAGCACCTTACAGTTCAACTGATCAACAGCTCGGTAACGAAGTAAACCCTTGCACTGATAAGCAGTTTTCTTGTCACAAATAATGAAATGCAATTTAAAAGATAAAAATTTCCTTTCATTATGTTCAATACCTGATTATATGAATGCCTTTCATTTCATGATCAAGCTTTCAAGTGCAGGAGGTATTTGTTTAAGCATGGGCCCAACAGTTTGTATATTTATCTTTACTTATCAAAAATGCATTAAGAACCATATATCCTGGCTAAAAAACATGCAGTTAAATGCTTGTCTGAATTCTTTTGGTGGTGTGATATCAATGGTACTGCAAGGCGATTATTTGCATGTTAAACAATAATTGATCAGTATATAATAATGGATCAGTAGATAATATACAACAACCGTAGCCTTCTATTTGATAACAAGAGATTCAATAGCGGGGGAAAAAACGGAGAAAGCAGTACTAAGGTTTGATTATAATATCAATAACATCAACAACAACCCTTTATCCACTAAATTTGATTTTAGATCTCTACATTGTTATGCAGATGAATAATTTCTGTACCTGAAAAAAGCTTAACAATTACTGGAATATTTCAGTTGAAATTTTGAGTTAAACCCTCTTAGGAGTTATAGAAATTACCTATCTGTTTAATTCGTCTAAATAATGAGACAACATGTTATAGATGTCTACTGTTTCTTTCAGTCAACTATAAACAAAGCTCTCAACAGTTTTGATTACATGATTGTGCGGGATACTATACTTAGAGAACTGACATGATGTGGTATTGTAGGACTATTATCATCATACACACTGCCTATGAGAAGAAGGCTATTTAAGTGCACTGCACTTTATTTACTGCTGTTTTGTAGTGCATACTATCTGTAAATAAATCACATATTCTACAATATCTGTCATACTGCACTGAAAACAAAGCAATATGTTCATATTATACAACATTTTCCAAGTTCAAAACTTTAAAGGAACCTCCTCAATTTTTCAGAGCAAAGAAATTTACAACCAACTAAATTAATGTTAACTGTTTTTTCAATTACTGTTACACTTTAAAGGTATGTCCGAGCTTAAGGAATTTAGAAGTTATTTTAATATAAATACTAGTGCCTCTGAAGTTTAGAATATAAAACTTAATGATTTCTTTCTTTCTTTCTTTTATGATATATTTAGCCATCATAAAAATATATGTAAGGTATACATTCCTAAAATTTCAAAAAAATCAAAATCATGATTAATTATGTACTAGCCAGAGTTAAAATGTTTTTAAAAATTATTTGAAAAAAAAATTGGACATACCCCTTTAACGACTGCCTTGTATTAAACAATGTACACTATGTTTGTATTTTTTCTCATGATTAACTTTACTAGTAATCACTATGATCTACCAACTTTAATCATCCAAATGATTTGTAAGATAGATCTGAACAAAAGCCATATACAAGATCTTGCACCGATTTCAAACCGTTCATTGTGTGTGCTTCACCTCTCAACTTCATTATTCTGTGTGTAATAACTTTAATTATGAGACAATAATAAGGGGTATGATAAGAAGCTTTTTGAACTGGTTAAATGTGTGACATCAAAGGTAACGGAAGATTTATATTAGCTGACGTAACAACAGGTCACTAGGACATTTTTTTTTTTATAATGGAGCAATAGGCTTACAAACCATCAAAATATTGTAAATCATACAATATATTTTTTATTTTGTTAACTAATTATTAACATGCAATAAAAGTTAAACAACTTGAAACAGCACTACAGTAAATTTTATATCTGAAGGCTACCATAATTTTACACTCTAGAAAGTTATATGGCCAAATACAGCCAAACACTAACTGATATAACTTTTTTTTTTGTCTGTTATCTTCTTAAATAATAATGGTTTGCCACAGTGCTTTTTTAGACTAAGAAATTGTTGAACAAAACAAGGTAAATACATTAGAACCTGGAATACAGTTATGAATGAGTGAAGAAGACTCTAATGAATAATTTAAAACTCTAATATTGTGGAGACAGAGCAGCCACTTTCAGTCAACCAACTTTTCTAGTCAAATCAGTAAAAATCCATTCTAGAGTTATGGGTTTTGGATACTGACCTGTGCTAGTACTGTAATTATTTTGAACTTGGCCAACATGGGATTTTCCAAGATAATCCCCCATGCACAA